CAGACTCAATGGCCCATTCTGCATCTAGCATTCACTCAATTGTTTTACCAAACCCACACTGGAACAGAAAAAGTTGTGGCTAAAAACCACATTCAGATACCCTGGGCCAACACTGTACTGACTGCAAACCTACCCCTGAATGGCCATAAAATGGCCATAAATCTATGCAAACAGTACCATAAAACTGAGAGATTAAATGAAGTGAAAACAGGCATGTAGTCTGGACATGGCCATAAAATCCGACAATCAATCAAAGTGGATGTAGATGTATTTATCACGGCATTGATCCAATATAACCATAACACATTAGAATACAGAGTGTTAAAATCTGGGTAAAATGGAGTTTTTATATATATATATATATATATGACCATAAAAATATTTGACAAATCCAGTAAGAAATATAAAAAGCAAATACAATTTTATAAATTTAGCTGCACCTTTCTAATACGATAGCATGCTGCCCAAAATTTAGCCACAGATTCAGTAATAGTCCGATTTTCATCGGATAGCAATCGGTTACAACATTCCCAGTCTGTCTGGCCAGATGTTTCTTTTACAAAAGATGTGATAGATTTGTCTCGAATCTTATTGTACCAGTTTCATCTAAACATCATATGTTCGATGGTTTCTACTTCCCCAGAATCACACTGGCAGAGCCTCTGGTCAAACGGGACCCTTCTATATCTGCCCTCAAGCACCACAGAGGGGAGAGCCTCACATCTAGCTAACGCAAAGGCTTTCCTAAACTTATAGGTGTCTAAATGTGATAAGTAGTCCATAGGAACCGGGCAGTATCTAATTTGCTCAGGCACTCTAAAGTTGGGATATTTACCAAGATCTGCCTGCCTCTCCACGTCCATTATTCTCTGTTTAAGAGCTAACTTTGCCTGATCCGAGCGCATGGTCAGGATCTCTTGGGGACAGAAACCAAGAACATGCAGTTTGTTATGAACTGATTTTAACCATTTTGTCAATCAAAGTGAAAGCGGCATGCCATGTAGAGGGGAATTTCTGTTCCAACGTGGGTTTTGTAAAACAGCAGAGCAAATGCTAGATGCAGAATGGGCCAATGTCTGAGAATTCAGTTTCAAAAATCACTGAGCTCTAAACACAGAGCTGAACTAACCACATACATCTAATCTGACAGGGCCTGAGGCCAACCCAAAAACTGCATAACATGAATTCCTTAGGAAAGGAATACCTCTTCCTTTGCTCATTATTACATAGACAGATAAACTCTAGAAGTAGTGCAGGAGAATTAAGAAGGGACTGGAGGTAGGCTTATAGATTTACAAGGGGAAAGAACTGGAAAGCTGATACAGAATATTATGGTAGCCAGTATATGGCAATCTCAATTGCTTTTGCCAGTAGGACTAATGCAAAAGATTAAGATGGTTGCGGTCACACGCACCAGATAAACCGGGGTGGGTGGGAGCAAGGCTATTCCCTCTGGAGGAATTTGACATGCAGTTGCACAATCACACAGTCTTTTGAAGCTGTGGGGGCAGCCTGCTGCTGTGTGATCAGACACAACCGCGGGTGAGTTGGGGTTTTTTTTTGGAGGGGGGGCGCCGTTTGTTTCGAATTTGCTTAAACGGGGAATCGATGAATCGCATCTCAGCACTGAGGGCCCTCTATAGAGTGTGCGATGATGCACATACTGAGAAGGGCGGGGAACAACAGCACGGAGTCGGTATGGCCTGATCAGATGATCCTGACACCATGAGAGCGCGCTGGAGTGATCAGACAGGGGAAAGTCCGTCTGTGGCCCGTAGCAACCAGTTTGCTACCGGACTTTCCCCGGTGTCTTTTAACTCTGCTTCTGCAGTGGAACAAAATGGGTTGCCGACAGCTGTGGGGTGCTTCCCAGATGTTGTTGTCTGATCGCGCCCTTTAAATCCACCTGGCATTAGCACCTACAGCGGTGCTAATTGTGCATGTGATCGCAGCCAATCAGACTGTCAGTTGACCTGCCAAAATGAAGACCTGGTCACCCTCCCGCACCTTCTCCCCTATTACAAGTTGGCATGTTTATAACTGAAATTTCTGCCATAGCTTACAAAAATATGAACTATATGAAGCCTTCCAAAGCTATGTCAGCTCATTCTTTCAGCCTCTTTTTGGTTCTCTCAGGCAATAAATCCCCCTGGGCATTCACTGTTTAAAGAACAATTTTGTTTTGCTGCTCTGTCAGATTTACTGCCATACATTTACAGTAAAAGCTTGGGCACAGGAGACCACCCCAGGATAGCAATCTGCATTTAAAGTGTACACACAGCACGTTAATATGACAGCAGCTGTTATCTGCCATTCTAGGCCTTGGAATTTACTCAGTTTCACAACTGGAACATTATTAGTCTGATGAAGTTTACTGATCTCCCTGCAGAGGCAAGGAAATTGTAAATTGGTACCAAGTCCTAAGCTGGTATGCTTAATCAGACATAATTACGGGTTACCATTATGTAGATACATTTTATGTTGTTTATGTAACATAAGATTACATAATGTTACAGTTTGTGATCGGTTCACTAAAATCTTGGGTCATTCGTACATGTGCCCTGTGAGCCAGTATAGTTTAGTAATGAGAGTTTTAGACTCAGAATGAGGAGACCTGATTCAGTCTCCACTTGAGCCGTGAAATTTCACTGGGTTGCCTTGGACCAATCACTCTTACTTGGAGCTTTTTTAGGGCTGCAAGTAGGGTTGCCAACCTCCAGGCAGTGGCTAGAAGTCTTGTGGGATTACAACTGATCTCCAGGCAACAAAGATCGGGTTCCTTGGAGAAAATGGACAGTTTGGAAGGTGGACTCTATGGCATTATTATACCCCACGGAACTCCCTCCCCTCCCCAAACCCCACCCTCCTTAGGCTGCATCCCCCAAAATCAGGTATTTCCCAGCCTTGCATTGGCAACACTAGCTGCAAGCTTCCCACCAGGGGTGGGGATCCTGGGACAAAAGCTGATAGTAATGGTGTGACATCACTTCGGGAGA